CACTGGTACTTGACATCTGCACCACATCACTGGTAATTGACATCTGCACCACATCACTGGTACTTGACATCTGCACCACATCACTGGTAGTTGACATCTGCACCACATCACTGGTACTTGACATCTGCACCACATCACTGGTAATTGACATCTGCACCACATCACTGGTACTTGACATCTGCACCACATCACTGGTAGTTGACATCTGCACCACATCACTGGTACTTGACATCTGCACCACATCACTGGTAATTGACATCTGCACCACATCACTGGTACTTGACATCTGCACCACATCACTGGTACTTGACATCTGCACCACATCACTGGTAATTGACATCTGCACCACATCACTGGTACTTGACATCTGCACCACATCACTGGTAATTGACATCTGCACCACATCACTGGTAATTGACATCTGCACCACATCACTGGTAATTGACATGTGCACCACATCACTGGTAATAGACATGCGCACCACATCACTAGTACTTGACATCTGCACCACATCACTGGTAATTGACATGTGCACCACATCACTAGTACTTGACATCTGCACCACATCACTGGTAATTGACATGTGCACCACATCACTGGTACTTGGCATCTGCACCACATCACTGGTAGTTGACATGTGCACCACATCACTGGTACTTGACCTCTGCACCACATCACTGGTAGTTGACATGTGCACCACATCACTGGTACTTGACCTCTGCACCACATCACTGGTAATAGACATGCGCACCACATCACTAGTACTTGACATCTGCACCATATCACTGGTAGTTGACATCTGCACCACATCACTGGTAATTGACATGTGCACCACATCACTGGTAGTTGACATCTGCACCATATCACTGGTACTTGACCTCTGCACCACATCACTGGTACTTGACATCTGCACCACATCACTGGTACATCTGCACCACATCACTGGTACTTGACATATGCACCACCTCACTTGTACTTGACATCTGCATCATATCACTGGTAGTTAACATCTGCACCATATCACTGGTACTTGACCTCTGCACCACATCACTGGTACTTGACATCTGCACCACATCACTGGTACATCTGCACCACATCACTGGTACTTGACGTCTGCACCACATCACTGGTACTTGACATCTGCACCACATCACTGGTACTTGACATCTGCACCACATCACTGGTACTTGACATCTGCACCACATCACTGGTACATCTGCACCACATCACTGGTACTTGACGTCTGCACCACATTACTGCTATTGAAGCTTGAATATAAACTATATAACCGCTGGTGACACCTAACAGCTGCAGCAGCTGTCTATTGGTGACAGTAGTTGAGGTGTTGGTAAAATCGTTGACGACAGTAATAACAATATTGATGGTAATGGTAACATCAATGATGGTTGAAGTGACTTCAGTGATGGTAGAGGTGATTTCAGTGGTGGTGGTGATAATCGGTGGTAGTTGTGGTGACAATAATGGTGATAACAGCAGTGAGAGTGGTATCAATCAATCAATCAAGTTTATTCTCTATAAGGATTACAATGCGGGGTTTACAGATTTTGAATATTGTGTGGTTTATATGGTTTAAAATACTAATTACGGAGGGGGCCACTAGTACACCTAGCATGGCTAGGCATTTCGGGCAGACTTAGATTAATTCTAAACTTTAAATTATTACAGATTATGGTATTATAGCTAAGTGACTACATTATAGTTTGTGAGTTTAGCAATGTGAATGCTTTTGTTTTGGCACAATACATCGTGTCTATATTTGAGTATCATAGGCAAACTTATGACTAGTTAGGATTCATTATTTTAAGATTAAGATTCATATTTCTGTGTTTATAGTCAATGGGTGAGTGAGTGTAAGCGTGAACCACCAGGTGGTTTACATGTAGTTAGTCGACGGGGTGTATCAGGGAGATAAGATGTTTTCTAACTGTAGTTTTGAAAGTGATGAATGTGTCTGCAGTTCTAGGCTGGAATATTGCTGCACTCTAACAGCACCTTTCAAGGCAGGTGAAATTGCCGACCTAGAAAATGTACAGAGAACTTTCACGGCGCGCATAACGGAGATAAAACACCTCAATTACTGGGAGCGCTTGAGGTTTCTAAACCTGTATTCCCTGGAACGCAGGAGGGAGAGATACATGATTATATACACCTGGAAAATCCTAGAGGGACTAGTACCGAACTTGCACACGAAAATCACTCACTACGAAAGCAAAAGACTTGACAGACGATGCACCATCCCCCCAATGAAAAGCAGGGGTGTCACTAGCACGTTAAGAGACCATACAATAAGTGTCAGGGGCCCGAGACTGTTCAACTGCCTCCCAGCACACATAAGGGGGATTACCAACAGACCCCTGGCAGTCTTCAAGCTGGCACTGGACAAGCACCTAAAGTCAGTTCCTGATCAGCCGGGCTGTGGCTCGTACGTTGGTTTGCGTGCAGCCAGCAGCAACAGCCTGGTTGATCAGGCGCTGATCCACCAGGAGGCCTGGTCACAGACCGGGCCGCGGGGGCATTGACCCCCGAAACTCTCTCCAGGTAAACTCCAGGTAAACACATTGAATTTTCTTAAAGGTTTAGTCGGACACAGGGAATGTCATAGAGATGTTTGTGTCTGGTGTTATGCCTGTGGGTTCTGTCACAACTATCAAGAAAGCGTTTTAGCTCAAGGTAAATATTAGAATTTAAGGTCCTGTAGATGTAGATTGCACAGTAGTAAGTGTGGATGTTCTGAACAGGGAGTAAGTTTAGATCTATGAAGAGTGGGGGGGGGGTTGCCAGAGATGGGATTTAGTGAGTATTCTTACTGCGGCCTTTTGTTGGGTTATTATTGGCTTTAGATGTGTTACTGCAGTTGATTCCCAAGCACAAATAGCATAGGTGAGGTATGGATAAATGAGTGAATGGTATAGTATGAGAAGGGCAATTTGCGGCACGTAATATCGTATCTTGGAGAGGATCCCCACCCTTTTGGATACTTTTTTTGTTATGTGTTGGATATGGGTGCTGAAATTTAGGTTGTTGTCGAGGTATAGACCTAGGGATTTGCCCTCATTATGTCTGGCAATTAGAGTGTTGTCGATCTTAATGTTAAGTTGTGCAACACCTGCTCTGCTACCAAACATAATGTAGTAGGTTTTGTCAGTGTTAAGTGTAAGTTTATTGGCTGTCATCTAAGTCAGAATTTTGAGCAGCTCCTCGTTGACAATGATGCTGAGGGTGGCAAGATTAGGGTGGGAGATGACGTAAGTCATGTCGTCAGCAAAGAAAATGGGTTTCAGGTGTTGGGATACGTTTGGAAGATCATTAATGTAAATGAGGAAGAGCAGGCGACAAGGACGCTTCCCTGCGGAGCCCCAGTATCAAGTGGCCGTGTTGATGAGGCTGTCTTTAATGGTGACATACTGATACCTAATAGTATGGTAGGATTTGAAATAAGCAAGCGCATGGCCTCTTATACCATAATGGTCAAGTTTGTGGAGTAGGATGCCGTGGTCTACTGTGTCAAACGCTTTTCTTAGGTCAATAAAAATTCCGAGTGGATATTCCTTATTTTCAAATGCTGTGTAAAGCAGATCTAGCATTTTTACAATTGCATCATTAGTGCTTTTATTTTTCCTGAATCCAAATTGGCAGGGGTTGAGTATGTTTTGTGCCGTTATAAATGAATATAGTCTCCTGTGCACGAGTTTCTCGAAGATTTTGGATAGCAATGGTCAGTTTGATATTGGCCTATATTTGTTTACATCTGTAGTGTCACCACCTTTATGTATTGGTGTACCCCTTGCTGTCTTGAGTAGTGTCGGGAAAGTGCTAGTTTCTAGTGACTTGTTAAAAAGTAATGTAATAGCATGCGAAAGGACATGGGCCACTCGCTTGTACAATAATGGTGGGACATGAGACAGATTCCCTGAGTTATTTTTGAGTGACTTTATAGTCGCGGTAACTTCTGTGGGCTCAGTTGGAACAAGATAGAAGAAATTTGGAAAATTTCCATCTAGGTAGTCCCCGGCACGGGCGTTGGTACGTGAGATTTTACTGGCGAGATCAGATCCTATGTTTGAGAAGAAGTCGTTTATCTTGTTAGCTGTATCAGTGGGATGCAGTGGCGTTTCATGAGGTTTAGTTAAAACAATATTCTTGGTTTTTTTTCAGTTTGTGGGTCCCCAGAATCTGGGAAAGTGTTTTCCAGGTCTTTTTTATATCTCCTCTTGTGTCAGTGTATCTGCTGGAGTAGTACAGTTGTTTGACTTTCTTTATTAATTTGGTGAGAACTGTTGAATATTGTTTAAGAATATCTTTGTGTATTAAGCCCTGTCTATATTGCTTTTCATATTGGTGTTTCTTATCAATGGATTTCAGAATGCTGCCGGTTAGCCATGGGCAACCAAGCCGTTTATTCGTGATCTGTTTCGTTTTTATAGGACAATGTTTGTTGTATTGTCTAAGTATTTTGTTAAGAAAAATGTCTGTCCAATCGTCATTACCAATGGCATTGGAGAATTCTGTAGGCCAGTCAACAGTCTCTAGGTCTGCTGTGAAATTCCTCGTTGAGGCCTCGTCATGGAGTCTAAATGAAACTTTGTTGTATTTGTTGGTGGCTTACTAATGTTTGTTAAGAGGAAGGTTGGGTAGTGGCCAGTAGTGCTGTCTGTGATTATCCCTGATTTAAGGGGGGCAAGTATATTGGTCCATATGTGGTCTATTAAGGTTGCACTTGTCTCAGTGAGCCTGGTTGGTTTAGTTATTGTTGGTATGTGAAGTGTGTTGTTCATATTGTTGATGAAATCAGTTACAGGCTGATCATCTGGTAGGCCAAGGTTGATATTGAAGTCTCCAGCTAAGAGAAGGTGGTAGAGCCAGAAGTGATTGTGATTGTGACTGCAGTCATAGTGGTGGTGACAGTAGTGATGGTGGATGTGGCATCAGTTATGGTGAAGGTTCGGAACAGGTTACTAATGAAGTATCATTATCAACAGATATTTTAAAATTACCTGTGATCCCAGCACCCTGACAGAGTCAGGCATCAGAGACATGATCCATGGTCTAGCAAAGCGCAGTGTGAAGGTGGGGTCTGGACTGATAGTAAACACCTGCGTCGCTCTCACACAAGACCAGGACAAAAAGTTGGACAGTCTGGCTGTGGAAAAGCTCTATTGTTACTTTAAAAAGGTAAGTGTCTGTTTCTTCCTTCATTTACTTCTCCTTATGCTACTACTACCATTGTTACTTCTCCTACTATAATTACTATTACTACTATCAGCAACACCACCACTACCTCTAGTACTTCTGCTACTACTGCTACGACTACTACTACTGCTACGACTACTACTACTACTACGACTACTACTACTACCACTACTACTACTTATACTACTACTACTATTACTTATACTACTACTACTACTACTACTTTTACTACTATGACTACTACGACTACCACTACTACTACCAGCATCAACATAATGATTAACACCACCCCACACCACACTTACTACTATTACTACTGCTACTTCTACTACCACCACCTCAAATACTATTACTACTACTACCACCACCACCAAACTACTACTGCAACTACTGTTACTACCACTACTACTGCTACTACTAAGTGTCTGGATAAATTTTTTTTTAAACTGAGCTCTAACCAGATTTTTTTCAATAAATTTTATATATGATCGTAGCCCCACAAGAAGACAAATCTTGAATTAATTCCTCTCTCTTTTAGATAATATGTGTATCAAGATGCTCTCGTTTAATCGTTTTTCATTGTACAGTGACAATGATTGTGATCACTTGGGGGGGGGGTGATATTATTGTCCTCTCAGATGAGTGTGAAGCAAAAACCTGTAATTATTTTACCCAATGGACGGATTTCTGGTGTCTTTTCTTTCTGTCTCATAAACACACAAGATAACAGGTATATCTTGCTACTTACACTAAAGTCCCAATACAGGATGTACACATATATGTACAGTGGAACCTCGGTACTCGAACTTAATTCGTTCCAGTAGGCTGTTCGAGTACCGAACGAATTTTTCCCATAAGGAATAATGTAAATTACAATAATCCGTTTCAGATCCCCCAAAAATAAACTTATACCGACTTTGCATTGTATTTTCGTATGGTATTTATAATTGTATTTTCGTTTTCTTGGTCTCATTTGATAGAATGAAAGATATTTTACAGAAATAGAGATGATTTTAAATGGTTTACAGACTAAACATACCTTGAAATTGAGCTCAAAGTAGCTGAAATGTTCGATTTTTCCTGATGTTCAAGAGTAAACAAATCACGTCACGCGTCCAATACACGCCAACTGTCCAATACACGCCAACTGTCCAATACACGCCAACTGTCCAATACACGCCAACTGTCCAATACACGCCAACTGTCCAATACACGCCAACTGTCCAATACACGCCAACTGTCCAATACACGCCAACTGTCCAATACACGCCAACTGTCAATCACGCCAACTGTACCAATACACGCCAACTGTCCAATACACGGCCAACTGTTCCAATACACGCCAACTGTCCAATACACGCCAACTGTCCAATACACGCCAACTGGTGGGTCTAATATTCTTTCACAAATGCACTGATATTATTTATGCATTGTCGACATCGCTCTCGGGCCGTGCAGACAGGCTGCGCAGTAGCTCCTGATTCAACTGATATCTGCGCAGTTTTCACAGACCACTACAAGTCACAAGATGGCGGACCGACAAGGCAGGAGAGTTAACACGGTCTGTGTTGCATTCACACAAGGCTCCCTCAGTGTTTCTACAATGCACACATTATTGCCAAGCATTATACGAGACGTCTACGGCATCCCCAATGAAGAATTATATGGCTTAGCTTTGAATGGGATGTCAAGGATATTTATAAAATTCGTGAATGCCGGCTTCTACAACAAGATTGTGGAAACTTTTCAAGAAAGGAGAATGGTGGTGAATTCGGCTGTGGAAGTGTGTCTACATGACGTGTCGACGTATGTCACCTGGGTCAAGGTGAGAAATGTGCCTTTCAAGGCGGAGGAGTACGATCTGTGGGATGTTTTCGGCAGATACGGAACGGTGCATGCAGCGACCAAGGGAGTGTGGAGAGAGGGCCCATACGAGGGGTTCCCGGAGAGCTCCTTCACCATCAAGATGACGCTCTGCCAGTCGATTCCCTCTTATGTACATCTGGAGAAATATAGGACCCAGGTGTTTGTTCATTACGCGGGCCAAAGGAAGACTTGCAGACTAAGCAACTCTTTCGAGCATATGGCTGCCCAGTGCCCCCGTCGACTGGTTGTCCACTCCCGGGACTATTCACCTGTGGGCCTATGGGCTGAGGCTTTCGTGACTGAGCCTGGTACCTCAGCTGGGCAAGTTCCCAAGTTTTGGAGTGACGAGATGCAACAGGAGGACACTCAGTCCACGATGTGTGCCACCCTGTCTGTGGATGCATCGACCGTGCCCACGCTTACAGTGGATCCTGTGGGGCCTGATGTTTTGCCACAGGATAAGTTGCTGGAAGACGTGTTGCAGGACCTTCTAGATGGAACAGAACATGGTCCTGTTGTTTCGACGGCGTGTCGTGAGTTAATGACTGAGGAATCCCCTAACATGGAAATGCAGGATAAAACCACGTTCGTATGGACGCATGAGGTGGTGGTGGTTCACCAGGAGGCTTCGTCTAGCGAGGAGATGCATGTGGATGGCAGCTCCCGCAAACGTTCGGCGTGAGCGTCGGATATGGACGACGTCTTGACACCAGGACAGTGCCCAGGGAGGAAATCATGGGCGAAAGTGGCTGAGCCGCCTGTCACAGAAGGGATAGTTTCAAGGTCCCAGCATAAGGGTAGAGTACGGGGGGAGGGGGGTCTCGAGAAGCCGAATGACAAAGACGGACAGTCTAATGTGCGAGTGGGAACAGGAAAGACCCAAAAACATAGTGGTAAACCACCTTTTTTGTAAATTCAAGTATGTTACTATCAATGCCAATGGCCTAAGGACTGAAGTTAAAAAGTGTGGATGGAGTGGTTATTGCGTCATTACGATGTGGATGTATGTTTTATGCAAGAACATAATTATAAATTTGGTAGAGAGTTACGGTTGAAAGGCTACCGAATATATGTGAGTAATTCTTTAAAATTAAAGGGTGGGGTGGCTATGGCGGTGAAGGAGTCCAGCCCTTGGAGTGTCTTGGGATGGGAGGAGGGGGGAGATGGAAGGGTGGTAAGGGTGGATGGGTATTGGGGTGGGGTTAGAGTTTGTTTTATCGGAGTTTATATGCCAGTGGACAGTAACTCTAAGGTTAAAATAGACTTTGTGAGGGAGGCTTTAACGTTTCACATTCGGGGTTTACCTTTAATTTCGGTCTTAGGTGGGGATTGGAATTGCATTATCTGCCATGGGGATGTTGAGCCGAGGGGGGTGGGGTGCGTTCTACCTGTCCTAAGAAATCTGCTGGGGGATGCAGGGGTTTATGATGTAGTGGGGAGGGGTGGGTGGGGGTGGAACATACGTTTGTGCACAGAGGTTATGCGGCCCGACTGGATAGGATTTATGCAACACAAGGAATTCGAGTTGGGCGCGTACAGACCCTTGATCTGGGGTTTTCCAATCACCATGCAGTGCTAGCGGACTTGGACTGGGATGGAATGATCAGGGTTTATTCAGAATATTGGAAACTGAATGGGCGGCTCTTGGAGGGGGAAGAGGATGGGTCCACTTTTCAGGATTGGTGGAAGAATATCTGGGAAACGCAGAGGGCAGATGAATGTTTGTTGGAATGGTGGAAAATGCGTGCCAAACCTGGAATAGCACGTTATTATAAGAAGTGGGGAAAGGAGGAGGCAAGGTGGAGGTTTGGGCTACAAAACTATTTGGAGGGGCAGCTAAATGATTACTATGTGGAGGGTGGAAGTAGTAGGTATGATGACATTGAACATCTTCGTAGTCGACTTGCAGAAATTCACAATGAACGTTTTAATGCGGTTCGAGTCAGAGCAGGTATGGAAGAAGTGCTCTGGGGTGACAAACCTTCCGGTTGTGTCTTGCGCAAGTTCAGGGTCAGACAACAGGCGACGTCCCTCTTGCAATTGGAAGTATGCATGGGTTTGGGTGGTTACCTGCCGGGTCAAGTACTCCTCACCACGGACAGCATGAGTTTTTATGCTGATCTATGGTTTGGGGAAAATCTACGGTGGGGAGTAGGGGGGTCCATGCGGGTGGCCTGGTGGGGAGGGATTTCAGAAAAGTTATAAGTGACAGGGATAGAATGGTACTAGAAGGTAGAATTCGAGTGGAGGAGGTAGAGGAGGCGATTTTTAGTATGAGTAAAGGAAAGGCACCAGGTATAGATGGCATTTCGAATGATTTTTATAGGGTGCATTGGGGAAGTATAAAGCATTGTTTGGTTGATGTATTGAATTGCATGCTCACGGAGGGGAGGTTAGGTATGTCGCAAAATATGAGGGTAGTTGTGTTGGTGCCCAAAAAGGGAGGGGGGAGGGGTCTGAGTGCATATAGAGCTATATCTCTTATGTGCTCGGACTATAAAATCTTTGCAAAAGTTTTAGGAAATAGAATGAGGAAGGTTATGGGGTCGGTTATTCACGAGGGACAGCTACGCATACCAGGTAGGAGCATGAGGGATGGGCATGTACGTATTAGGGAATTTTTGGAGGAATGTCAAGAGGGTGTCCTCGTGCTTGACTGGCAAAATGCTTACGACTGTGTTGATAGAGATTTATTGAGGCTTATTTTATTGAAGCAGGGTTTTGGAGAGGAGATTGTAAGATGAGTTGATACCTTGTATGTTTCGGCTATGATACGCGTACAGGTAAACGGTAAATTGGGGCAGCCGGTCCGTATGGAATGGGGTTTGAGGCAAGGGTGCCCCCTCTCCCAGCTGCTTTTTGCTTGTATGCAAAACCCCTTTTATGAGCTGGTGGATGGTGGTTTGAGGCATGGGATGCGGAGCAGTGACCATGCAGCGCGTGTGGTCGGGTACATAGATGATTCCACGATTTTGTTAAAAGGGGAGGAGGATTTGCAGATTGTGGGATGGATTGTTGAGTTTTTTGGGACAGAGTCTGGCATGTGCGTCAATAAAGCAAAATCGAAATTATTGGAGGTGGGTACATGGGTGGGGGGGGGGCAAAAAGTATGGGTG